TTACTGTTCTTATCTGATTGTGCCCGCAATTGTATGTAAATTGACGTGCACTCCGCCCCCCCCCCCCCCCCCCATCCCCAATATCCCCCCCCCCCCCCCCCCCCCCCCCCCTCAGGAACGATGCGGCCGGCCGGGAATTTCGCCTTTGGAGCGACTTTGGAACTGCTTTGATTCAGACGCCGCACTTAGCACTCGCCTAAGTTTCTGTTTTACGTCGGGTAACTTACGAGCTTACATAGCTTTGTTATAGTACTTTGTTAATTTGACTCACTTTATTTTCTAAGTTAACCATCGGTGAGTGTAAAGAAAGTGTTAAGTCGTTTCGAACACTTTTTTTAAAAAAAGAGTTTGCATGCAATCTTACTAGGCTGCAAGTTACAAAATTTTTGCACAACATCTCCTTGCGCTTTCGACATCTCAGAACAAAATCGCTCAAAGTCTCATTATGACCAAACCCGACGTTAATATTCCAATTATTTTTGATGGATTTGACCCTGGACTTCAGACTTCCAAATTTCGACGAGGTAAAAATACTGAAGATTCAGATTAACTCTTGAAAGTTAAAAGTGCGATTAAGTGCCGTGTGCTAGCAGAGCTTTCTTTCCCACATGCCTCTTACCTTGCACAAGACGTTCGCATGACAGACATTCGCTTCGCTTGTTTACTTGCCTTGCTTACGTTAACACGTATTGAGAGCCTATTGCAACTTTGCGTCAAAAAAGGCCATTTCGATTACTCTATTTGGGCCAAGCCCGAATAAAAATAATCGAACGCCTAAAGAGACCTTAGGGTGATGTTACACGAGACGATTCGTAACGACAAATTTTAGCGCAACACAGCGTTGCAACATTGTTGCGACATTGTTTCGAATGGTTACAACATTGTTTCAGCATTGCAACGCTGTGTTGCGCTAAAAATCGTCGTTGCGAATCGTCTCGTGTAACATCACCTTTAAATCGAATACCCTCGTGTTTTTCTCTGTGACAGCAGCTGAGTTTGCCAGACAACCACTAACACTAACGCTATTTAGAGTGGGTGATACAATACTTTACAGTTCCAAGAACTGATAAACCTGTGGTGCTCTAGGTTTCCCAACTAACTGAAGACACTTCAGATCGAATTGGACTTCGGAAATGTTGGGTTTTGAGGCGAGGGGAAATCTGGAGTACCCGGAGAAAACGTCTTGGAGCAAGAGATAGACCCTAAAACAAACACAAACTACATGTGCAACACAGCGTCGATGCCAGGACTCAGGCTCCCAGCCACATTGGTGGGAGTCGAGGGATCAGTGGACATCGCCTCTCGCATGTGAGGATCGGGATTCGCTTTCTCTGAGATGAATGCCGGACTACTCGCTGGAAATCTGACAATTGAATAACGGAAACTTCGTTTGATTACAGTGTAAACTTGAATTTAGGGGCGTTTTAAGTTGTTCTTTTTGTTTTTAAAGTGATATAAATAAAATAAAGTCGTTAGATTGTTGTAAGGGATTGCTGCACAGTTGAACTATTAATATTATCAAACATTTTTTTCGTCCAATCTCAGAGTTTTAACTCTAAGCTGTTCGAAAAAATGCCGGGGTTTATTGATGTATGTCGTCACCGTTCTCACCCTCCCCCATACTATGCCAGTGTTAAATGCAATGCAACTCCAGAGAGATGATTTAGCACCATGAGGAGGGTGAAAACATACGTGCAATCTATGATGATGACAAGCAACCATCATCTCTAGCTTTAATGCACTAGGCATACAAGCTCATACAGAGAGATACAATTGACACCCAGAGAGAGAGCAGAACCGGTTCTGTACGACGAAGCCAAAACTGAGTCTATTCATTTTCTAAGTACACTCCTTTCAGAAGCTGATTGTGACATTACTCTTTTGCTACTATGTACGTAGTACTTTTACATTAAAAAGAAAAAATGTGACTGTCTACACCAACGAAGAACAAATTATGACATTTTCCTCAAACTTTGAATTGGTGCTGCTACTAATTTCCATGCATGATCTATTTTACTTGCCTTTATTCCTAAAGAGAATAAAAAGCAAACAAACTTATACACAGTTCATTTTACTGATTCACCGTTTGTAGTTTCCTTTCCAGTACAAGCCGAGACTGGCTATCCTGGCCAGAAACAAGATTCTCTCTACCCAGCTACCTTGTGAAGCATGCCATCACATGTAAGGTTTCAATTGACGACTTATTCGTTAGCACTAGAAGGGAGCTTAAGCTCGGGCGTTTTTGTGGGACGGACGTCAACCTGAAGTAGACTTTTTGCATCATTAAGCAGTAGCGTGGTTGAAACTCTCAGGTAAATCGTCTTTATAATAGAAAAGAAACTTCGCAATACAAATTTGTTAGCGTCATGGCATATCGAAAGGTACAAGGCCTCACTTCCGGTTGAGGTGCTTCGCTCTTAATATTTCAACAGTTTGGCTGTATTACCCTTTCTTACCTGTANTTTGCTACTATGTACGTAGTACTTTTACATTAAAAAGAAAAAATGTGACTGTCTACACCAACGAAGAACAAATTATGACATTTTCCTCAAACTTTGAATTGGTGCTGCTACTAATTTCCATGCATGATCTATTTTACTTGCCTTTATTCCTAAAGAGAATAAAAAGCAAACAAACTTATACACAGTTCATTTTACTGATTCACCGTTTGTAGTTTCCTTTCCAGTACAAGCCGAGACTGGCTATCCTGGCCAGAAACAAGATTCTCTCTACCCAGCTACCTTGTGAAGCATGCCATCACATGTAAGGTTTCAATTGACGACTTATTCGTTAGCACTAGAAGGGAGCTTAAGCTCGGGCGTTTTTGTGGGACGGACGTCAACCTGAAGTAGACTTTTTGCATCATTAAGCAGTAGCGTGGTTGAAACTCTCAGGTAAATCGTCTTTATAATAGAAAAGAAACTTCGCAATACAAATTTGTTAGCGTCATGGCATATCGAAAGGTACAAGGCCTCACTTCCGGTTGAGGTGCTTCGCTCTTAATATTTCAACAGTTTGGCTGTATTACCCTTTCTTACCTGTACGCTTATTTATCACCTATGAAGTCCAAACACTTCAACATCTGTGATGGTAAAATCACTTCTGCCTGTAAAAAACTCCTTCTGTTGTCCTGGTGGGCACTGATAGGTTCCGCCAAGAGTACTGCCACCCTGTCGTCCATTTTGTCCTAATACCCATAGGTCGCGCTCTCGACCAAACACTGGCCCACAGTCATGATAACTAATGATAGCAAACTGTTCCATGCCATTAATTAGCGACATTTTGGTCGGTCCCAGACCACTCGGGTTGACTAAGCTGAACAGAAAGGCTCGGCAGCATGGCAGGTAACTTCGTTTCGCAGAATGCCATATGGGATACATGGACTCGGTCGGTGCTGTTAATAAAAAATATATCTTTGACTTATGAGCAGTCGTAGAATACGAAACCATTAAAACGTATAAATTTGTATGCTGCAAATCCGCTCTAATATACTGAATATACGATCAAAGGCAGTATTATCAGTCTTACCTGCCCAAGCGCTCTCAGTGAAGCCTCCAAAAATGTTTCCATCACTATTCACAACAGTGACTGTAGGTCCTTGGTTGTCGCATCTCGAATGAAACGCTGAAGCAGTGAAACCATCTCTAGATGCTCGGAACAGCAAACACCATTCGCCTGCAAGTATAAACTCCATAGGTATCCAGCGTATCAATACATTTCGAAAATCTCTGCGGTCTGTCAAAATCACGGATTTCTCAAACACTTTCAATGCTCTTACAACCTTCAACTCATCCAGTAACCCTTGCACTTGGTAAAACCTGGCTTCTACTTCAAGTTCCTCGAGAAATGTAGCACCCTCTGGCAAGATTAGTTCTCCGTTACGAAGATAATTTAATATAAAGCGGAAGTAAGTTCCATCTCGGTCGATAAAGAAGGAACCGTCTTCAGTAGTCTCTACCTCATGCCTTCCTGAAAACATGGCTGCGAGCATCGAGTTGGGATCTCTTGTTAGCGTTTGCAAGCTTGTGGTAAAGTGACTACCTCCGACATTTAGTTTCACAATCGAAGGAATACGGCTCCCGAGAATCTGCGACATCATGGATTCGAAGGTTCCTGGCTGCGGGTAATTTGTACTTTCTTCTCAGGATCTGTTTGATGTTTAACTACTTGAATTGTTTAGGATTTTTCTTCTAAATAATGGGTTCTGTACAATGAAAATGAACAAAACTACTCCGCACAACGGGATCATTTGATTGTGAGACGCCACTTCCTTTTACGATTCCAAGGGACAAAGGGTTCCGCTGACTAATGCCCAGTCCTTTCTTATGAACTTATTCGCGGGGATCGAGATACACAAACCTTACGAAAGTCTTCAGTGCAGGCGTACTTTGGGCGGGCGAAAGCTGCTTTATTGTAACCACCATCCTTGTTATGACGGAGGAAGACTAGGGAGAGTAAAAACAGTAACCCTAAGAGTAGGTGCTAGGGCAAAAGAAGGAAAGAGGGGAGGGGGAGGGGAGAAAAAATACTCTTCTCTCTCTCCGCCCCCTACCCCACTCCTTTTGACTCGCCCCATTTTCTCCCCTCTTTTCAACATGCGCTTTCGCGAGAAAACATTCGCGCGCCCGAAGAAAACGCCTGCACTGCAGGCTACTACAACGGCAGGCAGTCTCAGTGAAAACCGCCCATTCAACTTCGCGTGAAAAAACATTTGCCTGAAACTCTGGCAAGTGATCGTGAAAGGCTTTATCGAGACTATGAGACTTGCTATGAGACTATGATCAAAATAGGTTTGCTATTTGATTCACAATAATTTTTTGCCGCGCTGGTATTTTGTCTCGCCACGGCCAATTTACACGTCTTGAAAATTTAAAATTAGGCAGTTTTTGCGGCGCTGTAAAATGTACGATTTGCAAAATCTTCCAATGAATTTTATATCTATTTATAGGTAAGCCCCGGGGGGGGGGGTACTACCCTATAAAAGTGACGGGGGTGCTCGACGTACCTTTTAGAGTTTTAAATTTGTGGATTGGTACCGCTTAGGGTGCTAAAACCTAAAATGACTGATTAGGATAAAGATTTATGACAATACTTTTATTTTAATAGTGTTAAAGATAACTTTCGAACACTTTCTTCTTAAAAAAAAAAAAAGGATTAAATTNCCCTATAAAAGTGACGGGGGTGCTCGACGTACCTTTTAGAGTTTTAAATTTGTGGATTGGTACCGCTTAGGGTGCTAAAACCTAAAATGACTGATTAGGATAAAGATTTATGACAATACTTTTATTTTAATAGTGTTAAAGATAACTTTCGAACACTTTCTTCTTAAAAAAAAAAAAGGATTAAATTAACTGCAAAAACCGTGGACGAAGATCCTGCTAGTTCTAGAAAAGAGATCTAATCAGTCAAAATATAAAGAACCAAAAACGAGAAGTCCAAAGACTACTGCAACTGCTGCAACTACTGCTACTGTTACTGAAATATAAATAGTCTTAAAAGTTAATATTTTTATATCATTTTTATTAATATTACTATTTAATTTGTTACTTTATCATCGAAACCAAGAGACTATAAAGGGGACAGAGAGGGCATCCCCCATATACACCCTATTCCATAGGTAATTCGTCTCGAGTTATTTTTAGAATCGGGATAAAGTTATCTCGCGCGAGGCGTGGATGTTTCGTGGAGGTTTCGCATGACCAAACGCCGTGCAAAACATGTCGGGCGAGAGGCAATGAAAGCGTAAAAAGATCGAGAGCATTCCTGAATATTGAAGCGAAATGAGTCGGCGTTCACCTGGGAAAAAGGAATCGCTGGACTCTTTGACAACCCGTGAAATCAGTTTAACTCGAAGTTCTCGTAACCTCAGTGCTTTAATGAAATGAGAAATTTCGCCGGTCTATTGAAACCGGTCGTTTGTATAATTTAGGGAGTTTAAGATCCAACGACGGGGACGACAACTAGAACGTCAAAAAAGCAATAGGTTTAATTAGCAAAACAACAACTTTCGCACGTGCAACACACTTTTTTGTTCATTTCTTTCCCGTTTTTGCACGACTACGACGTGAAAATGCCTAATTTCGCGTTTTATGGAGGACGTAAATAAGCAACAACGAAATTTTATTTCTCTTTCTGAGCTTGAATATGGTCTCTTGAAATTCAGCTTTAGGAGGGTTCGCCTACAATTGACAAAGTAAGTGGGTAGGAATAATCCCTATAAAGACTGAAAAAAATAAACATCAAACCAGAAATTGCTGTCTTCAAACTGTAAATTATAAATGATCCTGAGAGAATATTCAGTGTGTTAAGGATTTCCCTGCTCTACTGGAAGGGCGATTCTTTTTTAATTTCGGTTTCGCTGACACAGCTTTCGCAGAAATCTCGCTGTAGTCGTTTTCGTCGACAAAAGGAATAGCAAAATCGCTCTCCGCGTCTTCCCCCATTTTGTTCTGCGTCATTTCGTGAAGGACGCGTGGCTCTCAGCGTGGGTCATCCACGCCGAACACATTCGCGCTATGTGATTGGCTGTTGTCTAATCCCCCTTGAGATCTGTGGTGTTAAAAATAACTCGAGACGAATTACCTATGGAATAGGGTGTATATGGGGGATGCCCTCTCTGTCCCCTTTATAGTCTCTTGTCGAAACGTAAATAGTTTTCTACTTTATTTTATTTTATTTTTTTTACCTCATGTACGTACGGCAGAAGAGTCCGCCAATGGGGAGCTGTGCAATAAAGTACGGTACATTTATGTTAGTACATGTACATCTAGCTCATTTTTTGAAAACCAACCTGACGAAATTTGCAGTCGTTTGAGTGAAAAAGCGTCCGAAAAGGCGGGTTTTTTGAGCCCGACAAGCTCCAAAAGAAAAAGGAGAAAAAGAAAGAGCGAGGAAGAAAGGAGGAGAAGAGAAAAAGCAATTTTGCTCTCTTAGTTTTTATAATGGCTACTTTGGAGATAGTTTTTGGCCCAAAAAAAGCAGTTTTACCCGAAGGTCTACCCGGCGGTAACGTTTTCAAAAATCCAACTAGACATACGCCACTTGCACATCTTCCATAATGCACCTTAAAAGTGCCCCCCCAAATTTTGCATAAGCACTGTTTTCAATTTCTCTTGGGACGGCTGTAATACCCAGGAGAAATAAAAAACAAAGGTTATGCAAAATCTTGGGGGGCAAACAAGGTTTATTATGGGAGATGTGCAAGTGGCGTATACAACAGTACTTCTAGAGCCTGACCCGATCTTTGGCTTCTTAGCTTGTTCCGAACTTAAAACTGACCCAAGAATTTATTTAAGATGTAGTGTTTCTCATTTCCCATTATTTTTCATGACATGTTTTTTCAATTTTTTTTCATTTTTCTAATATCTTAAGAAGCAGGGCAGTAATCAAGGAGCTTACCCTAGGATTTTTCCTGAGAGGTACCGCACAGTGTTGCAACTCACCTAAACACGCGTCTCCCAATCGGCCAATTCGTTTTCATGGGCGGGTGACATGATTAAATGTAAGTTTCCTTGTCAATATAGTGAGGTAATCATTTCTCTTGGTTTAGTTTTAGCGGAATGTAGATACGGCTTTCCGTTGTAACAAAGTCGGGGAAAACAATGAGTATTGATTTTAAAATTATTCAACAGAAGTTATCGAAGTTACATGGACGACATTGGCAATTCCACCATTTTTCAGTCATATCTACTTTCCTTCCGATTGCTTCCTGTACCTTTAATTTCCCTTTGGTTTTATTCAGTGTCTTCATGCTAGGTAGGGATTTCGTGAGCTGACGTATATGAAAGGGTTGGGGGTTTTGTCATTTAGGTTTTTTAAAAGGACCTTAAACTCAAACATTTCGAACCAACGCACTTTACTAGGGGCTAAAAAATAATTCATTAAAAGCCACATAAATTACATGATAGAGTGGAACCCTGCATTACGGCTATCTCGGTAACACGGTCACCTCGTTATTACGGCCACTTTCATTTTTGGCCTCCCTGCGAAACGGCCATACATTTTCTTGTAAAAAAAAACCCACCCGTTAATACGGCCAAACTTTTTTGGCCCATTGGTGACCGTATTAATGGGGTTCCACTGTAGTAGGTAATGGAAGGTATACGAAAATGTATAACACCGAGTTGGTTATCCTTATACTTTAATATCCGCTGCATCTGGATTGTGATTTATCCAGGAGATAACGCTATTCAGAGTGTGAATAGCCAGGGCAAGGTGGGGCCTCCCCCGCATGAAGCGTTGTTGGCTAGCCTCTCCCAGGCCATTAACTACGTTGTAAGCATCTACTACATGTGTTCACCCTAGAAACTCAATAAAAGCTTCTATTTTTGCCAAAATAAGCTTTATTCTTCAGTTTAACTTTGGCTTCGTCGAAACATCTATTGATTGACTAAATTCCATGAAACGGTCTAAAATTGGCCCTACCGTGTTCCAGGCGTTGCGTACGTTTCTGTTGTCGCACTATAATTTACACGTTCGGGAGGGAAAAGGAAAGGAATATGACAACTTCGATTGAAAATATATTTTTTACGAAAGCCGAGGAGGGTCTTCCGACTTCCGACTTCAGACTTCAGACTTAAGACTTCATACTTCAAACTTCAGACTTCAGACTTGACAAAGTTCGAACTCCAGATTTCTGATTTCTGACCGTTGAGACTCAATGCTGCATGGTTAGACCTCTGACCTCTGACCTTCCACTTCTTACTTCCCAATTCCCACTTCGACTTTTCGACTTTCGACTTTCGACTTCCGACTTCCGATTTCCGACTTCCGATTTCCAACTTCCCACTTCCCACTTCCCACTTCCAACTTCCCACTTCTAATTTTCGACTTCCGACTTGACTCCTCTGTCGGGCTCGATTGCCGCTCGATCCGCCACGCGGGTATTAATGCTCAAGGTCAAGGCTCAGTAGAAAGAACGGCTGTACCGGTCTAGCCACAAAAGAGAACAACTAAAGTTGCTCTTGTAAAAGCAACTAAGCACAAAGCCAATCAGGCAACTGGTGAAGTTCGCTTGGGGAACCGAGACCATGGTCTTGCCTGATCACAAAGTGACAACAGTGATAAGCTTATTAAAAACCTATAACCAAGGAAGGA